GCTGTCCCGGGCCTGGCCCGTGCGCGTCCGCCTGCTGGACCTGGGCACCGCCGGCTGCTTGGGCACGGGACTGGGCGGGGGCACTGACCTCGGCCTAGAAGGCCTGGGATCCAGTAGCCATTCGCACCCGCAGGTGCCTGCTAGTCGCACGCCCTCCCCAAACCCTTGCTGCTCGCCGCTCCTCGTGCCCCCCTCCTTCGTTCCCTCCTCTCCTTCCTCACCCGTGCCCGCGAGAGAACCCGCCCGCCCGCCCCCTCCTGCAGGGGTGTAGCCGCCTGCGGAGCTGACATCGGCCCCGCAGCAACCTTGCCCAAACTCTCCGGAAGCGGCCGGAGTAGACAGGGTGCTCAGGCCGCCAAAGCCCCGGCAGACCCACGGTTAGACCAGAGGCGCGGGCCCTGCTCCAGGTCCAAACTTGGAGTGCTTGACCTTTGGCTGTCGGAGGAGGCAAGCCCGCGGGTGGTTGGACAGCTGCAGCGCCGCGAGGGCATCTTGCCCGGGGTTCCAGGACCGTCGGCTGCACTCCGGGCTCCTGGCTTTTCCTCTGGGATCCCGAGGTGTCCACATCAGGCGCATGTTGACCGAGACTTGGAGTCATGGATGTGTGCGCCGGCCTTGCCCTGTGGCTCCTCTGGGGTCTTCTCCTGCATCAGGGCCAGAGCCTCAGCCATAGTCACAGCGAGAAGGCAACAGGAGCGGGCTCAGGGGCCGGTTTTGAGGAGTCCACCGTAGCAGGTAAGGTCTTGCCAAGGACTGGACTGGGGGCTGTGATTCAGAACTGAGGGGCTTAGAGTGGGCAAGATGAACCCTAGGCTTGTACCTGAGTGGTGTTGGAGGATCCGTGCATGGCACTACCTACTGCCTTTTCCCAGAAGTCCAAGGAGTTCTGTTGAGGAGCCATAGCTAGTGTCTTCTTCTTCTTTTTTTTTTTTTTTCCTCCTCTGAACAATTCTCCTTATCCCTCCCAAAGATGTCTTTTGTTGGCAGTGAGAAGAGGCCTGCCTTTGGGGCACCTTGGTTTTTCAGACTGGCAAGCCAAGACTCCTTCTCAGGACTACTTGTCTGAAAGAATGGCCTACCCACATGTTAAATCCATTGCTTATGACAGTTTCAGCATTCTGCAGCACAGAGGAGGTTGAGGCTGCCTGGGTTGGGCAGACAAAGTTAGGGCTGGGCCACTCTATTGGCTGATAGCCTCGTGTTCAGGTCCGCCTTTCTATCCCAACAACCAAGGGAACTTAGTCCCTCCCTTCCCTTAGGTAATCTACTGTTCCTAGGCTGTGCCTGTTTGAAGTAGCAAAGCAGTTCCTCAGACAGAATCCTGTACCACCAGGGAGTTAAATGGCCTTTTCTTGACATAGACATAATTCTTGAGGCTAGTTGTTGACTTACTCTGTTTCTTCTGAGAGTAGGAATTCCATGTTATTTTTTATCTTTTCTGGTTTTGCCCATGCACTTTAAGGGGAGCCTTGTCAGGCAACAGAAGTGTTGGTGTTCTGTTGGAGCAGAAAAGAGCACTTTTAAAATTCAGTTGCTTTGCACAAGGCTTGGAAGGAGAAGATCAGTTCTTCTTCCCCACCTCTTATCCTGTTGCTGTAATCAGCCCAAAGCAGTGTAACTATAGAGTTGGGAGAATTTATAGCTAGGTAGTGTCTGAGGGTAGGCAAGCTCAAGTGACAAGGACAGCTCAGTGGTACCCACTGATACGAGAAGGAAAAGGAAGTACAGGCCATGATTGCTGGAGAGTTTTGTGGATGGATCCAGAGGCTGACTCTTTCTGGGGCAGCCCCCTTGTAGCTTCTCTAACTGCCTCCATGAGTGAATCCAGAAGTCCCAAGGCTGGCTTTCAAAGGAGACCAGGATTGCCCAATGTACAGACAAGCTTGGCACCTGGGCTGTTGCTTTGAAGCAAGACTTTGAACCAGTTCATTCTGGTTCAACTCCCTGCTGAGAATTTGGATTTCCACTCCAGGTATACTGAATCTGAATCTACATTTTAAGAAGATTTTATGCACAAACATGAATCACTTGGTGGGATCTATAAGAATTACCTGGGGATCTTGTTGAAAATGTAGATTTTGAACCAGAATGAACCGGTTCAAAGCCCTGATGATAGGTTCTTTCTCCATATTAATCCTATGATACAGGATTCCATAGGGACTCTCCTGTTGGCCCGTGAAACCTAGCTCGAAGCTTGGTTCTCATTGGGTTGTGAAAGAAAAGACTAGTGGGCAGATGTACAATGAACTCTGAGAAAGGCCTAAGGAGCATTTCTGCTGTCCCAGTAACATCCCTGTTTATAACTGTCAGTATGTCCTTTCTTCACCCTAAAATATGAGTGCCTGATGGAAAATGCATGTTTCTGGGGGATGCAGGAATGTTTTGTATTTTAGACACAAGCTAAAGGGATGAGTTTTGTATTTTAGGTATTAGCTAGCTATCAGGAAGTTTTCAGTACTCTCCTCACCCCCAAGATAAGAAGCATCCTAGCTTCCCTTAGGACCATCCTATGCCTGCTCATGGAGGAAGCTCTGTGCTGATGATACCACTTTGGCCTTTTGGTCTTTTCTTCCTTTCAGTTCAGAAATTGGTTTCTGTTGTCACAATAATGTTGAACCCCAGGGATGGGAGTCTCAGAGGGAGACCCTAGGTGCTGAGAATAGCTGTAATTTGTGGGCTCCTGCATTGTTGGTCTGGTATATTGTCCCCTTGAACTTGTCTTGGACCTAGTCTCTGACTTACACAGGGCCTCATTTTTGTAAAGAGGTGGTGGCTCATGGGCTGGGTGTGTGAAAGGGTTTGGGGAGAAGCTTTCTCTGCAGCTAGGAACCCTTGTGGTCTTCTAGCCCCTCCCTCTGTATCTCTAGAGCACTGGGGGAGGGGTTGCTTGCCCTTAAAGCTGCCACTTTTCTAAATCAGATTCAATTTACCAAGTTAATTTGTATATTCTTTACAGTTATATTTTCTAATTACTCAGTTGTTTTTCCTAAAAAAATCTCACAGTAGCCTTTGTGAGATTAGGATGGTGGGGCAGGTAGTATTATCTCCATTTTTATGGATGAAGAAACTGGATCCTGTGTTCCATTTTATAGGCAAGTCTTCTAATGCTTAAGTTCCTGGACTTCTTCCATCTTCTCAGGCCCTGCCCTGTTAAAGGAGCACTAGGCGCAGCCAGGAGAATGTTGCTGTACTCCTGGTGAGTTAGGCAGGCCCCGGTGACTCTTCAGCTGAACTCCAAGAAAAGGGCTGCCTTATTTTTTCCCTCCTCTGGAGAGTCTTCTTTAGGGACCCAGAGAAATTGGATCTTTATTCTCTTGTTGGATGCATATGTCCATCTGACTCTTTTTAGTAAGTTAGAAGATTTGATTCTAAGAAGGATTTCGTCAGAATGCTTTTGGCTTTACCATGCATGCACTAAACACTTAAAAATCTGACCCTGCAGTGAAGGCAAGTGTACCACTATGAGACCCTCTGATTGAGCAGTAGAGCGGCCCTTCCTGTCACCTTTTTGGATGCCTGCACACCTAGCTGTGCTAAGTCACTTTCTCAGTAAAGACCTGTGCCTGACTATGCTAGACTTGGGCCTGCATTTCTAGAGCTGGCCTGAAACTGATGCTTGGAACATTCCTTAGGGTTTAGACTTTCTGCCTACAACAGCCCAGAATGTTTTCTGTAGAATTTTGTGAGGTGACCCAGGTGGAGTTTGGAGTTGTGGCTGCCAGTGTTGGAGGTATTGAGGGCCTCTGATCAGGACCTGTGGTTTAGCTCATTACAGCTAGAACAGGGCTTAGAGGACAGGCATTTGGGCAGTGTGAGCAACCCCTGATGGAGTAAGCCTGCCCACCCAGCTAGTTGCTGCTGCCTCCAAGGCTATAAATGGCCTGGCCATATTGGTAGTGATGCTATTTTTAGCTGAGGGTGGCTCCCAGAACTGGGCTGGGACCAAGGCAGGTAGGTGGGGCTTGGCTGAGGCTGATCCTGGGGGCTGAGGAGAGGGTCATACTAATCCTGGGATAGCCAGGACATCATCTGCTCCCAGGCCTCATCTTTGACAGTTGTCACCCTTAGCTAAGCTAATTGATTTGGCAGACATTCATTATGCTGTTTATTCAACAAATAGTTGAGTGCCTGCTCTGGGACAGGTACTATGTTTGGTGTTGGGAATCCAAGGGTGAACAGAACAGACATATTCTCTGCCCTATAGAGTTTATAATCTAGTGAGGGAGACAGAACATAACCATATAGATAAATACATTATCATGTGGTAAGTGCTATAGAAGAAAACATGAACTATCTGCTGTGATGGAGAATAGGAGGAAGATAGAGATCTAGCTAAAGTAGGAACCCATTGCCAGGTAGGACAGGTTAATACAGTAACAGAACAATAATAATAGCAACTTATGGTTTTTTAGCATTTACTGTAAATAAGCCATCATTCCAAACATTTTATTTTATTTAAATCATAGAACCATCCTCTGTGGTAGGTATTATTACTATCCTCATTTTATAGGTGAGGAAGTTAAATCACAGATAGGTTAAGTAGCTTGTCCAAGGTTACACAGACAGTAAGGCATATCTGCTGCCATTGAGCCAATTCTGACTCATAGCAGCCTCCATTGGGCTTCTGAGGCTGTAAATCTTTATGGAAATAAATTGCCTCATCTGCCTCCTGTGAAGCAGCTGGTGGGTTTGAACCATCAGCCTTCTGGTTAGTATCCAAATGCTTTACCCGCTATGCTACCAGAACTCCTTATAATAGTAAGGTATAGAGCCACAATTTGGATCCAGACAGTCTGACTCTTCTCTCTACACAGTTCCTGCCTTCACTCAGCCAGGAGAATGTACACTCTCTCAAAACTTTGTGATAAATGCTATTATAGAGTTATTGTTATGCATACAAAGAAACCCTGGTGGTGCAGTGGTTAAAGTGCTTGGCTGTAACCAGAAGATCTGTGGTTCAATGCCATCAGCTGTTCTGTGGGAGAAAGATGTGCCAGTTTGCTTCCATAAAGATTTACAAGCTTGGAAACCCTATCAGGCAGTTCTACTCTGTCCTAAGGGTCACTTAGATGGCGGGTTATATGCAAACAACAGGCCCTGGGAGGCCCAGAAGAGGAAGTGACTAATGCTACCTGAGAAAGCTGGGGGAGGCTTTACAGTTTCCCCATAATTTTTCTAAGATCTTGGGGAGATGATAGGTGCCTGCCTAATTTAAAAGTTAAGAGGTGGAAACATCAGTTAGTTCCAAACACTTACTTTTACATAAGAAGAAACACAGTAGGTTATTGGTAGAACAATAGATATTTTGAGTCAGGGACCCTGACTTAATCACCTATTCAGTCCACAAGTCCATAATGAGTGCTTACTGCTTGCTTTGGGCATTCAAACCCACCAGCCACTTCTCGGAAGGAAGGTTGGGTCATTTACTTCTGTAGTGATACTGCCTCAGAAACCCAAGGAGGAGTCGCTATGAGTCGGATCCAACTCGACGGCAGTGAGTTTGTACTGCTTGCTTTGGGCTCTGGAAGGATTTAGGACTACCAAAGAAGTCTAAATCTGGCAGGACCATATATATTTAGAACACAATGTACAGCCTTAATGAAAAGTGCCAGACAGGCAGGATAGACATTATATGCTGTGGGTTAAGAGACATCTGTGTGGGCTGGGTTCAGATAGCTATGGAGGGCTTCCTGGAAGGCAGGGGTGGGTGGAGGCAGAAGAGGAGGAGGAGGAGA